GCAAGTTTTTCCTGTCAGCACTCTCAACGCGGCATTCAGGACGCATGCGTCACCAAACGTCGCCCAGAAAACAGCGATGTTATCTGACCGGATATGGTCTATGCTGGTTTGATATGGCGCTTGAGGGGGCCTCATCAGGTCGTAGGAGTTTTTGGCTCACGCCTTTGACGCCGCCCTTTAGAGTGGAAATCTAAAATGTTGAAATGACTGGATCGGGTATTGCCGCAATATGCCAACAAATCGAAAGCAGCGTCAATATGTTCCCCTACAGGCTCATCTCATGTTTCCCAATGGCGAATGAGAATACAAGCACGTTACGCGTTATGACCTATGTAAGAGTGAACATGCACACCTTTGATGTTTGTAAGAGCCTGACGTATTACGACACACCTTTGGTGTAGATGAAACACTTCTTCATGTCCGCTTTAAAGGGCGTACCACCGTTGGGGTTTTTCTAAAAAAAGACTCTCTGCTGAACCCCAAGAACAGTTACGTCTAATGATGTCACCGGGTAGTGCTGCTGCAGCGCCATCAAGGCACCCTGAGAGGTTAAATCTGACCCATTTCCGAGTTCAAGTTTTGCGAGCGGGATCAAGCAACAAATAAAAGAAAAGGGAGAAGACGCCCTATCGTAAGGAAGCCCGCCCCGCGCGCTGGACGGGTTTCAGCCGAGAGTTTTGCCATTCCCGATCAACGGGACGGATCAGAAAACAAACAAACTGACAAACGGACAGACACACCACCTACCGAAGAAACCTTCCACGAGCATACGGACGCAGCACTGACGTCACCCCAGGCCGCGACGCGGGACCGGCGGGGGCCATAATGATCCGACGTGACCACCACCGCCACCTCATGTGACTAATTCGAGACAGCCTCGACACAGACCAATGGGGCATGGACATGGACATGCTTTTGCGCAGACGCGCACGTGACCGGCCTCGGTCACCGAGTCCAACCATGCAGCACTCGCCCGAATGCTGCGAGCACCATTCACGATCTGCGCTCAAGAAAGGCGGGCTGTCGGGACCCCGCCGGCTAACCTGTAACACACCCGCCCACACGCACACACCCAGCCCACCCACCCACACCCACACCCACACCCACACCCACACCCACACACCACACCCACACCCACACCCACACCCACACCCACACCCACACCCACACACACCACACCCCAACCCACACCCACCCACACCCACACCCACACCCACACACAACCACACACCCACCCAAACCACACCCACACCCACACCCACACCCACAACCCACACCCACACCCACACCACACCCACACCCACACCCACACCCACACCCACACACGATATATATATATATATATATATACACACTTATATATATATGTATATATATACATATATATATACACATGTATATAGTATATATATATATATATATATATATATATATATATAATACATGCATGATAAGATTGTGAAAAAGATACATAATACAATAATGATGCAAATGCATAATGTAATTTTAAAAAAAAACATTACCAGTCGCGAGGTCTCGATGAGATCAGTCCACCGCTTTTTCCGCGCGGGGTTCTATCTTTCTTTTTCAAAACAGCAAAGTGGACCTCTTCAACCCCCCCCCCCCCCCCCACATCAGTCGGCGTTATGAAAATTGAACCACGGCATTGGCTAAGAAACGCTGAACATGTGGTCAAGTCAACCAACGATGTGCCTTCAATGTAAAGAAAGGCAACACTTGTTTCTTGCTATGCATGCAGGGACCTATTGACTGGCATAATTTAGTCGGTATTTTTTCCTCTGGGATCAAATTATGGACGCAACACCGAGCATCATGACTGGGTCTGCATGGGTGTGGCTATAGCGTCTAATCCCAGCTAGTGGGACTTATAAGCGCTGGCGTAGAAGGGCAAGGCCCAAGTGGGCACGTTTAGACCAAGCAATCAGAACTTTTGCAAAACGCTGCAAATGGTATGCATGCAACTCAATGATACAGCCTGCACTCTGCAGGCATTTTGCAGAATTATGCTATCTGATGACTCGATCCCGTTGGTGACCTTCAAACATTCACTTCTTTCCGACATTGCATCTGGGGGCATTGTTTCAGCACGGGCGCAACATGTCGGAAATGGGTGTCTCTTGTTCTCAGTGAGGACGGCCAAGCATCGTAACGCTGCGGCGCAGAACGGTGGCGACAGGCGAGAGCGTTATGAGTACGTTTTGTTCATGCAGTGCGGTAGTTAGGTATAATAACGAGCTCCACGACCAATGGAGACGCGCCTCTGACCCGCCGTAGCGACGCCCTAGAGTGATCTCATCATTGTGCGATGGGTCGTATTTGCATTTATCAGTATCTGATAGGAACGTGGTTAGCTATGGGCGCACACCGACAGCAAACTTATGCGAATGACCATTTTCTATGATTGACGTGTGACACGCATGTCTGCTGCACGCTAGTTTAGGGCGCTAGTTTCGCAAATGAGCCGGAGGGCTGAGCAGTGGAAAATGAAACAGCCCGCCCCCAAATTCCCCTAACAAACGGGTTTCTCCCCGGATTTGGACAATTTTCTTCCCTAGCGTGTATAGGAAGGGGGGGCTGGAGCCCACTTTGGAGTCAGGGTGAGGGTGGAGGGCTGGAGCCACATCAACTGAATAGAAAACTTTACCCCGCTTACCACGTCATGCTTGGCAATGTGTATGAATGCAATCTTGTCGCCTTTTCCCGAAAGAGATCTTTGCCGCTATAATCGAGCCGCTGCAACGACTCGACGTAAGTTGTTAGTGGATATTGTACAGAGGATCTTGGCAATGCCACCGACAATATTCAAAGGTTAAGATGCACCGATGGTGTCGCCCAAATAGCGTGCTCTATGACCTACTCTGAAATTTTATCAATATGCGGCACACAAGGGTATCTTTGGGGGAAGGGGGAGAGGCACTTGAGGGCGTGGATGGAGAGACGCACTTCACACCAGGCACTGCATAAGACACACCAAGCACCAATTACCACTACTGGCAAGGGTGCAATTTTCTGTAGGGGAGGGGGGCTTCAACGCCCCCTAACTTTGAAAAAAATGAACTACAGCCGGGGAGAAGCCCGTTTGTTGGCCAGTTTAAGTGGACATCGTTCTTTCACTTTTCCATTTTTTCAACTTGGAATTGTGTTTGACTGCACACCAACACACCTTTGTACACTTGTCATAATAAATTTGGGTGTAACGATGTAACGATATAGCGATCGTACGATGTTGCAGGGGCACAGGGGTGCATTTTTCATTTTTGTTTGTTGGCTATTTTACGACAACATAATGAAGGCAGCATGATATCATAAAGGTTAGGGTAGTAGGCACCTACGTGCAGTTATTCAGCAAGAGTGATGCACAATCAAGGAACAACATACCCAGATTGCCAGCGGACCCAATGCAATTTTGTCACGCCTGAGGAGCGACAGATCCGCCTGAATTGCCACATCTAGTCAAATATTGAAACTTTTGCGATCCTATTCTACAAGTTTGTTTTTCGTACTATGTTACTTCATCGGTGCTAGTGCATTCAGCTATATTTATTTTTTACGCTTGCCTACACTCAATCATTGAAGCGTAGTATGAAATTGCTAGGCCGGCATCAATTTCAAACCTGGTATTTTTGCTCTGCATGTTTACGCAGTATGTCAAACCAACATACTATATTTTGGTATATTGCCTGTCCACCCAGCCTGCCTTCACAGGCAGGGTGTCACCTTTGCAAAAAAGCTAGGAGACTGAACTGATTAGGCTGACTTAACCTTCCCTGAAACCCGGTTTTTCCTCCGATTTCATTGAAGTCTTATTTGCACCTCGAATGTTGTATTCATTGTCTGTCTTCAATGTCTTCACTATATTTTGCAATTTCTTAAAACATTTTCTGCGTGGAGAGATCATTTCCGGATTTCAGAGCAATAGAAGTTACCTTTTGTGCAAAGCTTAGCATGGTGTAATTTAAAGAAAAACGTCTTGTGATATGGACCATTGTGATCAGCTCGGTGAAAGTTCGAATGCCTTCGAACTGCTGTATTTTTCAAATGACCATCCAGTGACAAAGCGATGTCAAGAACAATGGTAGTAATGAGGTATCCTCACGTTCATCAAGTCATGACTCTGCTGAACATGGCTCATGGGGCGAGACTGAGTATCTTGTCATTACCACGTGGCTTGACGCCCTTCTAGACGGCCCTGAGGTCACTTCACGGGATAGGTCTGGGACGAGGAGTGGCTCCAGCAAACGGGGTGACACCGCATGCAGCACGGACTTCACCAGATTGGTTCTAGAATTATTTCCTGAAATGCACATCTGCTGAAGACTGGTGTGCTGTGGCTCCTTACCCACGCAATCTGTCATCTCTGGACTTCATGCTGTGGCTCCTTACCCACGCGATCTGTCATCTCTGGACTCATGCTGTGGCTCCTTACCCACGCCATCTGTCATCTCTGGACTTCATGCTGTGGCTCCTTACCCACGCCATCTGTCATCTCTGGACTTCATGCTGGCTCCTTACCCACGCCGATCTGTCATCTCTGGACTTCATGCTGTGGCTTCTTACCCACGCGATCTGTCATCTCTGGACTTCATG